GAAATTTGCCGAATTTCTTCGAGAATTTTTAGTGGCGCCCGGACTCCACGCTACAGGTCCCCCGCTGTTTTTTAAGTTTCCCTGTTCAGCGTCACTTGTATGTTGCGTTGTTTTTCAGTCAGCCAGGTTTCGCAAGCCCGAGGGAGTTTTGTGGTGATTTTTGCGTCCTTTTGAGTTACGTTTTGTGGGTGGGGGAGGAGAGGGAGGGGAAGTGGTGTTCTACCTTGCCATGTCGCCCTATACGCTCACCGCCTTTCCCTTTACCACTGCCCCCTCCCTCTGCTTGTTTTTGCTGTTTTTCGTATGAATTATTGCCCGTGCTGTGTTCCCCATGCCCAGGGCCCCTCGAAGCTACGTGGATCCGAGTATGTGGGTTGGGGCGATGCAGTAGATAAAAAGCCCGTGAGTTACCAGATGTCCAAGGCACATGCTGTGGTCTGTGCCCGCATACATTGACGTACCCCCGGGTGCCCCACTTCATGAGTCCGATGTTGCTGACGTCCCTCAGATGTCTGCCTGTGTACCCGAGATGTCTGCTGAGTCACCCCACGATGTCTGCCTGATGTCCCTCAAGATGTCTGCGCGTCACCTCACGATGTCTGCCGAGGGCACTCGAGTGTTGTGAGTACAGTCCCGCGACGCACCTCGCGACATCCGCCTGACATCACAGATTCAACTCGGTGTTTCTAGTAATTTTTTCAGTATTGTCGAGAAGATTTGGGGAAATTTATGGGTGTGTTAATTCCCCGCAGTCAGTGTTCTCAATTTTTTGTTTTTAGTCAGTTTTATGGCAGAAAAAAACATCTTTGCTAGTTAAAGCCCTGTGTCCGTATGTACAGCGGTGTGTTTTTAAGTTTTTCCGTGTGTCCGTGAGGTTGTGGTCAGACCCTTGAGTTGCACCACTGTGCTAAATCACGGCGTGACCCGTGTTTGCAGTGTTTCTCAGCCCGAGCGTATGAGCCCCCCTTTTACAGAAATTTTTTTATCGTCGTCGTGATGTTCTGCAGAATCGTCCTGTAGATTCCCATGAGATTTGTTTCACTTTACCCCCAGACCCTCAGAGTGCGTTTTGTAGAAAAACAAATCTGGGGAGTTAGACTAACCCCTGCTATAACTCCAATGTCGAGAGAATGACACACTGTGTCAGCCGGGTCACAGCTTTAGGAGCAGCTGCACAAAGATGCATTTGACTGTGCTCTCCCCACTGCAGTCGGTGTATGATGTTAGACTCCCCGGGTGTTTTGCCCAGTGTCTCTGCCCCGACCGCTCCCGCCGCGGGAGTGACAGCCCAGGGCGTACCAGTCGGAAGTGTCCTCCTGAGTCGCTTGCCAGAAGTCCTCCCAGGTGGAGTTTTGTCACGCCCCACTCGAGGGCAAGCTGTGTGCCCCCGGTTTAGTGAAAACCCGCCAAAAGGGGGCTCCTTTTAAAGTTGCTTCCCCGTTCCAGAGGAGACCCACCCTTTTACGTCACAGCCAGCCACAGCGATGTCTCCCCTGTTGCAGTATTGTCCCGACGCAGGAAGGGTGCATGTGCCATCGACGCTATGCCTGACCGATGTTTAGCACCCAGTTTTTTTCTTTTCCGTAGGAAGTTTTTTTTCCCTGTCCATATGTTTTATGTTTTTATTTTGTGTTTTGTGCCCCGTTCCTACGAGAGAGAGAGACCGAGTTTCTTTTACTACCAGTATTGTCGCGTCGGGACGACGCGCGGTAGGTGGCCGAGCGTATGTAGACAGCCTGTACTGTCTGCACAGACAGCCCATGCTGTCTGTCAGCTTAGTTCATATTTCGCGCCACTCAGGTGCTGCCATCTATAGCTTGCCACTTCAGTATGCCCAGACTTGCCTCACTCTCACTCACACAGCGGCCTGGCATCAACACACAAGGCCTCCCAGCTCTCTCTTGTGGGCATGGCCCTGCCCGGGCCATGGGCACAACACAAGCCTGTGTACCCACAACGACTTAACAATAAAGTAAGAAGCCTCCGAAGAAGTATATCATTCACACCCCGCTACCAGAATACCAAACAAGCCCGTTATAGTTGTGTATCTTTATACATATATGCTTCTAAGCTGTTGTGTTCTGAGCACCTCTGCAAAAACAGTGATTATGTGTGAGTGAGATGAAAGTGTTGAATGATGAAAGTATTTTCTTTTTTTTTTGTCACCCCTGCCTTGGTGGGAGAGCCTACTTGTTAAAAAAAAAAAATTCCTATCTCTTATCTCTCCATCCAAAATACCCCTTGTGAACATGGCTTTCGATTCTGGTAAGAGCCCACCGACTTAACTAACTTTGCCGTTTTTATTTGTTTTCAGACCCTGAATACGTATTTGTAGATCATCTTCCAACCAACTGGCCATATCCCATCGAGGCAGAGTGACCCAAAGAGAAAAACAAAAATTTCTCTTTTTAACTTCAGTAATGTATACAGGAGTAGGGGCCACTAGCCCCCTGCTCCAGGAAGTTTAGTTGCCTCCAAGACATGAATGGCTTATGGAGGAAGAATTCTGTTCCACTTCCCCATGGAGATAAGATGAAATAAACAAGAACTATTAAGAAAATAGAAGAAAACCAGAAGGGTGTGCGAGTATATATATGCTTGTACATGCATGTGTAGTGTGACCTAAGTGTGCAAGTAGTAGTAGTAAGACGCACCTGTAATCTTGCATGTTCATGGGACAGAAAAAAGACATCAGCAATCCTATCATGTAAAACAATTACAGGCTTTCATTTGCACTTGCTTGGCAGGACGGTAGTACCAACCTACTACCTGGGTATTTGTAAGTATGAAGCAATAATTATCATTTGGGATGTTTTGTTTAGCTGTGTCTCGTTAGTACCACTGACGATGTACTACCTGGTATGGCCACCGGTGTACATACCCCTGGTTTCTCCAATATTGACTTTACATTTCATTGTGTATTCAGCCCTGATGGACTGATTCCTGGTTTGGCATGTCCCATTGTGCTGCCTATCTGCAGCATTCCCCCCTTTTTGTCTCTTTGGAATAATGATTCCTCTTCATGTCTTAAAAAGACTGTTGTTCATTTTACCTTTCTCTGCTTTCTCTGTATTGCCGCGTTCCTCTTACATAATGGTCTGGGCAGTTCAGGACATACCATTCCCCTGAACTGTGTTGAAGCTTTGCACATCACTGGTGGAAGTACCTACACTCTTTGTCAAAGCAACACATTCCCTATCTCAACTTGTTCACACATTTCTGTGTGGTAATTCCAGCAAACTCTGCCATATAGGCACATACCTTTTTCAAAGTATGTATCTGCAAATGTTCCAACTGCCTGTACTTACTAATTTTGTCGTTCCCAACTTCTGCCACCTGATCTGAATTCTCTTGCTTATTTTCATCTAGGCATAATTTCCCTTTTTCATTTCCGTTTGTTTCTGCTCTAGCTTTCTCTTCCCCCAAATTTCCCCTACGTTATATACCCATGTTTTCTTCTTTTCCGACTTGCTCTGAATGACGTTCTCCACTCATTTCGACTCCTTGGTTTTTACAATTTGTGTTTTCCTCCTTTCCTTGTTTCTTGCCCCTTGTTTTCCACTCTTTGTATATACCTGGCAAGCTCCTAAGGAACTACTTTCTTATTCTTTCTAGGCTTTCACTTTTCAGTACCTCTCTTATGCCCAACTAGCTTTCCATCTCACTGGGGCAAACCCAGAATTGACTTTCTTGTTTTAGGTCATGATATACGGGAAGTTTTACCACATATTTCACAATCAATGCCCCTAATATTTCTCCCCAATTTTTTTTTTCACATATACAACAGATCTTATTTCCGGAGATGTTCACTTCCATTTATCTTATCCTGGGCAGTTTTATGTAGTGGGTGGTGGGCTAGGGTTGTAGGTGCTGGGAGTGGTGGTCCGTGGAAAGAGGGAAGGGTGAAAGTGGTCCGGGGAGAAGGGGGGGTGTTTAGGTGGTCAAAGGAGAGGTTTTGGGGTGAACATGGGAGGGCTTCCCACTGGAGAGGGGGGGGGGGGGAATTGGGGTAAGAGGTTATGGGAGGGACACTTCACATTACGTAAGGTCATTTGGCTTATTCCTTTTCCTGACATTACATCCTCTTTATTAGCCATAATTTAAGATCGCTATATCCCTGCATACCAATACCCCTTTCACTTGTTTTATTACATATTGTGATAATTTAATACTCACCTGTCAACATTCTGGCAATAATTCGCTAGTGCTGCTTGACCATATATTTTTACACCAGCACTGAGAATTTGTCACAATGTTGTAATCCACAATTTAAGATCACTATCACTGAACATCAATACATCATCACTTGGTATATTATGTAAGACAATACAAGTAACAATCCTTCAGTATACAATAACACAACAAGCGTTCAACTAGAATAGTTCCAAAGGTAATGGGTAGGAGGTTTGAGGAGAGGCTAAAGAAACTAAATCTAATGACACTGGAGGACGAAAGAGCCAGGGGAGACATGATGTGAAAAATAATCAGGGGAATTGAAAGGGAAAGAGGAATTTGGGGACACAGCTGAAAGTTAAAGACACAAATGAGTCGCAGGGATGTCAGGACGTACATCTTAGTTTCAGGGGGGTTGGTAAGTGGAATGACCTCACTGAAGAAGTGGTGGAGGCTGGGCTCCATATATGGTTTTAAGAAAAAGTACACCTCCTTCCACAAGGCTAAGAATGAATGTGGCAAACATCAAGTCAAGGGTGAGGCCAGGAGCTAAGATTTGACCCCTATAATCACACAGCCTGCATCTGGGCATACAAGATAAACAAGGAGAGATTTTACCTAGAACAGGATATGAAGGAACCTAAAACACCCATACAACCCACAAGCTCAGTTAAACATGATAATTACCATTATGAGTTAAAACTGAAGAAAAATGGGCAGAAATAACATGCACAGTATAAATTTTACAAGGTTAAAAGTCAACACCAGAAATTAGGAGTAATACTGTGCTCTTCATTATTATTACACTCAAAATTAATTAGGCTTACCGTAGCTTTTTTCAGTTGTTTGTGCTCATCACGCAGCTTCAGAAGTTCACTTTCAAATGAACTACTGCGTAAATTTTCTGCATTCACGTTATCGATCTGTTCTTGCAACAATAACACCTCCTGTGATCTCTGTGACACGTTCGGTTGGCATCCAGTAAGAGGGCTTCCAAGTCTCGAAGAGAAAGTTTTAAAGACATTATTTCTTTCCCTCGGGTTCCTCCAGCTGAAAAATCAAAACTGCATTCATAACTTTCATTTTCTGTAGAGCTGTAAAAAGCACTTTTATTTCTGTACTTTTTTGCAGATTCATTTCTACGTTTTTCCCAAATTCAGGCTACCAGTAACAGAGTAAATTTAAAAATTAAGGAAAGTAGACAAGAATCTTTCCTCCATTAGGAATACATGTTATAAAACTGGGAACAAGGGGGGCTAGAATGCCTTCTGTATAAATTACTAAATGTAAAGAACAACAACTTTTGTTTCTTATTTTTCAGGCCCATCCTGCCTGAGTGAGACAGAACCAGCCATTAAAATAATAACACCAAGAGCCACTGCAGTAGGGGCAGGAGAAAAAAAAAAATTTGCAAATTTGTAGCAGTAAGCTTATGATTCATAATCTGATAGAAGAAAACGAGTTGTGCTTTCAGTAGCGCAACAATATTAGTTAACGTGGAACCCTTTTCCCTAGATGATAAAAACAAAATGCTTAAACCCTTTAACTGTGGGATAGCCTGGGGAAAAACAAATACGATCGTCAAGTGATTTTTCCAAATTAAATAAGACTAAAAATAAGCAAAATTGATAAACTAAATCTTATGGTGTGTTAAAGTTAATTTAAAAAATTATTGTTAATCGGCAACATAAAAGCGCTAGCAATATTTACATTTTACAATTTATTGACATTAAGATACGATTGCTTTCCTGTTTTTTAATTGCTTTTAATGTCTAAAATTATGTATACTAGTTTCTTATGTGTTTCAAGGTGTTTTAGCATTGCAAACATGCTTCACTTGGAATAACTGTACATTAATTTTTTACTTTTTTTGTCTTTAAGGTTATGTACAAGGAATTATAACATTACACTATTTCAGAGTGTAATACTCCTCAAAACCACGGAAATAAGTCATACCGATTAACTTTAAAGGGTTATCCCGAGTTAAACATGCAGTAGACTGTCGATTAAGACAGTAGTATGTTCCTGAAAATGCAGTGTTAGACAATCGTGTTAAGGTAATGAAGTTATGCATGTAGATTTCTGTTGTTTAAACCCTTTGACTATCGCAGGGCCCCTTTTCTGAAACTGTCATTCTATGTCGAAAATTTTTTGGGAAAAAAAAAAAAAAAATTATTTCTTATGAAATGATAGAGAATCTTTTCCGGTGGTAATGACACCAAAAGTTCGAAATTTGGTCGAAACTCACAAAATTTAACGCTCCCGTGAAGTTAGCGGTCTTGACAACATTACGTATCGGCGATTTTGCCGACTTTGAGCCCTGTTTTTTAGCCAATTCCGTTGTTCTAGTTGACCAAACCATAGTTATTTCTTTAGAACTCCATTTTATCTATCGAGTTGAGTACAAGAAACTGCCCATTTACCAATTTAAAACTACCCAACAAAGAGGTCAAAAACGGGCAAATTTGGTCAATTTCACGAAATGAATGATTTGTCTGTATAATGGATGTGTGGTGTGAATGATGTGTCTGTAAAATGGATGAAGTTTGCCAATTTCAAAATAGGGTCCAAATAAACAAGGTAGACATTCTTGGCACTAAAATAACATATCCTCGTTCATTAGTCACGTCTCTAGGCCCCTCTTATATTACTATTGCTTTCTATTTTGTTTTTTTATATTCAAAACAAAAAAAAGTACAAAATTTACTGGTATGCAGACTACTGCATTATTTTAAAAATAGTATAAATAATATTAGTGCACTAGTGAAAGAATATTAGACTCCCCAGTTGACGTGTATTGGACGTGTGGGTGTTTGCATACTCCTGAACATTGGTAAAAATCGAACATTTCCGCTACTTTGAGCTCATTTTAAGGTCGTTTTTCATGGAAAGAAAAAAAACTCTCTATTTCTGTTTTTTTTTCGATTTATCAGTGAGCCCTGAAAAACGAGAATACTGATAAATATAACGAAAATACACCTCAAAGTCGGCTTTTTTAAAAATAAAATTAATAATAAAAAAAATAAAAAAAAAAAAGGTCTTTTTTTTTTCTCATTACGCACTGTGTGCTGCGGGTTTTTATGTGGTGCACACACCACAGACCCATTCTCCACATGGGGGGCCTACCGGGTTTCCCTGCTTGATTTAAAGCCGCAAAATTTTAAGATATATTACTCAAAAAACGGGGCGCGTAAGACATATTTATACGGTGAAACAGTAAAATTTTAAAGGTACAAATGCAGAAGAAATACTTTTTCCCTTTAAATTTGGCTGCTGTGTTTGTGGAAATTTGAAGGGGGGAAGTGAGGGGCAAGCTGAGGCCCATCGGGCGGGTGGATGATGCCAATCAGTCGTGTCAGTCAGTCAATCAAGTCGGTCGGTCGGTCAGTCAGTCAGTAAAATCAATCATCGGTCGGTCAGTCGTAAATCTGGGTCAGCCAGTCAGTCAATAAAGCGCGGTCAGTCAGTCAATCAAGGGGTGGGCCCCATCATCAATCAAGTGGGTCGGTCAGTCAGAAAATCAAGTCGGTCGTCAGTCAGTCAATCAAGTGGGTGGGAAAAATCAGGTCTGTCATAAATAAACCCGCAGCCACCATGGTTCCTTTGGGAAAAAGCAATGATGGAAATGAAAGACCAAAACTCGATTCACAGACAATTTTGGGGTTCTGTACTGGGGGTAATACAAAAAACAGGTACGGGGGTGGCAGGGTAGAAAACCGGGGCCTTCCCGTAAAAGACAAGGGTCTCCCCACTGACAGCGCCCAGTGCTCACTACACAGGGGAAAAAATCCTTTGGCCGTCCAGCTTGTTTACCTGGGTTTACGGGAGAGAGTTCCGGGGGGTCAACGCCCGCGGCCCGGTCGTCCAGGCCTCCTGGTGGACGGCCTATAAAACCGGGCTGTTGCTGCTGGCTGCACCAAACCAACGTACGAGCCACACCCCGGCTGGTCAGGAACCGCTTTAGGTGCTTGTCCAGTCCCAAAGCTTGAAGACTGCCAGGGGTCTTTTGGTAATCCCCCTTATGTCTAAATTTTTTTCCCTACGGGTAAGCAGAACTTTAAATTGAATTTTACGAATTTGAAAAAGGAAAAAACCCAAATTTTTAAATATGTAAGGGAAAAAAATGTTTTTAAAGGAAACCGCCTTAATCGAGGTCTACTGTACTTGTGACCTTGTGGCTAAATTTTCACTGAAAAGAATAAAAGAAATTGAACGGGTGACCCAGGGGAAATTTCAAATATTCGTTATTTTTTCCCTCATTCTGCATCCTGTTTTGGCTTACGAAGTGTGTTAAATTTTCATCGCTGGGGATAAACATTTTAAAGAATTAGCATTAAAATTACTGTATACAAAAGACCTTTTTTACACAAATTTATTTGCCACGTTTTGGTTAGGACCTTTAAAAAAATTGCGGCAAAAATTTTAAAAAACTTTGTAAAAAAACTTCACAGGGTTTACTTTTGTGGGCGTAAAAAAAAATTTCCCCGCTCAGCTGCGCCATGTCGAGGGTAAACGGGAAACCCCCACCACCCAGCCTTCGTGAATACATGTTCATTTCATTCTGTCTGAGCTACTGTTTTTGTAAATTTATTTTTTGACCATTTGATTTTCCCCGTGCGGGCAAATATTTTAAAAAACTCTTCATAAAAGAGCTCAAAATCTCGAACTCTGCCAGAAACCCCCAACCCCCTGGTTCACCAGATTTTTAAAACCAGTTAAAAAAACACCTCTCTCCTTAGTTTATCCCACCCATCAAAAAACCGATGAAAAACTTAAATTTTTTTGCTCATATCATAAATAGGAAAATTTTTTTCCCCAAACAGGGGAACCCGATTTCGTCGCCCGAGAATCGTATGTTTCAATTTTAGAACCTTTTTTTTTTTGCTAAATTTTGTCACATTTCGCCTGTGCCCCGTGTTTTTTCGCGACCAGACCGTCCACCTCCCTTGCCTGCCACCTCCCACAATGCTTAAGCCATCTGGCTGCTTTTTATCAAAGGAACATTAGTGCGGCTCACCCAAAACATTTCACAATTAATTCAGTGGTTTGGTGTTGTTTATTGAGGGACTGAAATAAGTACCGGGCCCCAAGAAACTTCCTAGTGGCCCCCCCTTTCATAAAAAAAGTGAGAAAAACCATAGAAGTGAAGAAAGAAATAGAAAAAATATGGTGGTGTGCGACACACTCCCTGTGTGGAAGATATTGTATCACTGGGGGGTCCATAGGTTGGACGAGTGGAAAGGAAGGGGAAGAGTTGGTGGAGGACCACGGGGAAAGAGCTAATTTACTGAAGCGCAAGGCTTAATCGGAAACAGCTCAGCCCACTTTGAGGAACTTGTTAGAGGAAGAGGGGAAGAGGAGTGGAGAAGGTGGCTTTTTCTAATTAGGGCAGTGGGGAAATAGTTGAAAAATTTTTGGGGAAAAATACCACCCCGAGCAAGCAAAAAAGCCATCCATGACGAACCCGTCCCTTTTTTGGGAAATGCTAAAGAGGTCCAAAACAAAGGGCTTGACAGTTTTCTTTTTTTGACAAGGGCCAGTACTCAAGCTGGTCCGGGCATACAAGACAAAGAAGGGAAATAACCCCAATAAAGGACTTATTGGTCTTTATGGAAGGGGAACCCCTTCAAACAATAAGTGCTCCCTCTTCCTCCTCCCAACTTCCAGATGCCCCGCAACAGTCAACAAAGAAATGTTATTTTAAATGTTTATTTAAATATTAATTTATCTACGTATTTCTAATTTAAGACTATAGTATTTATAGAGGGGAAAAAGTTTGCTGGTATACCGGGAAAAATGTCGGTAGGGTTATTATTGAAGAATTAGAGGCAAACGAAAGTGAATTGCAAAATTTAGCAAGGAGGTTTTAAGGAAGCATAAGTGAGCAGTATTTTGATAAAGGGGAGGGAATTTTTATTGCATTATGGGTTTAAAAAGGCATATGAAGAGTGGGTAGGGAAACAATGGGCAGATGTTGCAAGTAAAAATGGGAAAAGGTGGTAAGTTTTCAAAAAACGTAAAAGTTTTTAAGGTTTAAAAGGGGCCCGTCA